GTTAATCTTATATGGGAAAGAAGAAATAAACATAGACTGCAAAAAGGCAAGCAGCCTAGAAGTAAACGGCTAGTTTGAGTATTATGAGAAGGGCTAGACAACCAAGTCCTCTAAATATCAAAACTCCCTCCCTCTTTGGTAGACCTCACCACGGTCTCAGGGAAGCATAGATCAACATGTGGAATCAGCTGCTCCTTCTACAGAAAGATCTAAATAGAACCTTGCAGCCCACGACCCCAAAACAACCTCATTTTAAATATTTTACTGCAAGTATAATTTTACTGCAGAGAAACTACAGCCTTAAAAAGTCCTTAACCAGGGGCCAGCACTGTTGCATAGTGAGTTAAGCCTCCGCCTGAGGTGCCTGCGTGCCTTACGGGCGCCGGTTTGAGTCCCGAATGCTCCACTTCTGATCCAGCTCCCTGCTGGTGACCTGGAAAGGCAGTGAAGGTTGGCCCAAATGCTTGATTCCCTGCACCCACGTGGGAGACCCGAAAGAAACTCCTGAATCCTGGCTTCAGATCAGGTTGTAGCTTTTTGGTGAGTGAACCAGCGGACAGAAGAACCTCTCTCTCTCTCTCTCTCTGAATCTCCCTCTCTCTCTCTCCTTGTAAATCTGCCTTTCAAATAAATCTTTTAAAAAATAATAAAATAAGTAAAAAATAAAAATAAAGAACATACAGAGAATGTTAAGACACTTTCAGAGTAAATTACAAACTTAAGCTCTAACAATATGTGAATGACAGTAAAAAGAAAACTCTGGACAATGGTCACAGCTAGGAAAAATAATCAACGACTTGTGTTGTAACTTCTTTTCCCAATACTAATGAAAAATGTACCCATTTGTTTAGAAACAAAATTTGCTGAGCATCTGCGTGATAGATGATGGAAAGTCACTGTGATCTGCCCAAGCAAGATCCTGGCCTCACACAGGATAGAGAGCAGGGGAGGGGCAAGAACAAGCCAGAGTGACAAAAGCTATTCCTAGTGGAGACTAGGGAGCTTTGCACTGGAGCTTGGGGGAGGGAGCATCTCACAACATGTGAAACCTCCACTAAGGCTCAAACAATGACTAGGTGTTAAAAAAGAGAGATGCAAGTAGACAAGCAGTCATTGCACAGAAAATCATGGGCAGAGACCTGGAGGCAAAAGAAAGTTCATCCATTTAGAGGAACAGAAAGAAGTTTGTCAGTAATTAGAGTGGTGAGGATTGATGCCAGAGAAATGCAGACAGGTGACGAACGGTGGGCTCTCTGAGTGATTCTGAGGAATGGGAGATCACTGAAAGGCATCAGAGGGCGGTCATACATGTATTGTGTTTTATAAAACTTCTTCTGATTGCACGGAGGAGAAAGAATTGGAAAAGGCCAAGAAAAGGCTCTGTACAAGAGAAAATGGAGTACTGAATAACAGCAATGGCGAGAGAGGTGAACAGGTTTAAGAGCTAGTTAGGGGGCCAGCGCTATGGCATGGTGGGTGAAGCCTCCGCCTGCAGTGCTGGTATCCCATATGGGCGCCAGTTCGAGTCCTAGCTGCTCCACTTCAAATCCAGCTTTCTGATGTGGCCTGAGAAAGCAGTAGAAGATGGCCCAAATCCTTGGGTCCCTGCACCCGAGTGGGAGGCCTGAAAGAGGCTTCTGGCTTCAGATTGGCATAGCTCCAGCCATTGCAGCCATCTGGGGAATGAACCAGTGGATAAAGGATAAAGGACCTCTCTCTCTCTCTCTCTCTCTCTCTCTCTCTGCCTCTCTGTAACTCTGCCTTACAAATAAATAAATAAATCTTTAAAAAAAAAAAGTGTTAGGAGTAGAGATCAGACTTGATTGGGTATACTACCATAGTCACTAGTTGTTCAGACTTCCTTTGTTCAAATCTTGGTTCTGCCACAAATGGCTACAGTGACTCAGTCTCCCTTTCTGGACCCTAGTTTCCCTTTCTGTAGAGTAGGAACAAAAGCATACCTGCTTATTGGATGTGTACGAGAGATCAATGAGTTAATTCACAAAGTACTAAGGACAGTTCCCAGCTATTGGTGAGTGTGACAGCCCAAAACTAGAAACAACCAAATTGTCCATCAGCTACAGAACAGGCTGCAGGAGACAAGGGAAGGAAATAGTCATGGATCTCATGAAGGACTTCTGCTTGGACAAGTGGATGGGTGATAGTAACCATGCCAGTTATCGATTCATTGACTCTCAGCTCCAAAACCCCACTTCAGCCCATGCTTTGAGATAGTGGAGATGGGTAAGCATGTCTCCTTTGCAGCAGGCACAATTTTAAGCTTTGTCATTAGAAGGCCCTGGAGGGGCCTCTCCTCCTCGGGGTCAAGCGCACTTCCATTCGCCCCTCTCTGTAGTGGTGCTCTCTGCCGGTGAGCTTCAGTGCAAAGTCCTCAGCGGTCTCACAGGAATCTCAGAAGTTGCCTGTCCAGCCTTCCACTGGCACCCAGGAAGGTGCCTTCTGCTTTGACCGTGGACAAGCAATGGCCCAGGGGAACCAAGCCCCCTTCCATCCACACCTTCTCCAAAGTCATCCAGATTGCAGCCAGTTTACACTTTCCTTGGATTCCTTCTACCAACCATAGTGTACTCCTTACTCCTTTAGGGCAAATATCATGTTATAATTGATCATTTCCATTGATCATTCCTTTTAACAACAATTAAATTTTCTGATTGGACCCTGACTGATGTAGTGGTATTCATTGAAATGAGAAACCTAGGAGAAGAAACAGATGTTGAAAAGACAAACTACATTTTGGACAGAGAAAGCTTAAGATGCCTGTAGGACATTCAGACTGCACTGTTTTGTAGGAAACAGTATTTGCTGGGGGTGAGATGAAGCTCAAGAGGTGTCTGAGCTGCAGAGGCTCAGCTGTAAGGAGTACAAAGCCCCATAAAATCACAGGTTAGCCCAGAAGAGAAATTCACCGCGTACAGGCAGAGTGGACAGTGAGAGAGAGACAGAGAGAAAGGTCTTCCTTTGCCGTTGGTTCACCCTCCAATGGCCGCCGCGGCTGGTGTGCTGCGGCCGGCGCACCACGCTGATCTGATGGCAGGAGCCAGGAGCCAGGTGCTTTTCCTGGTCTCCCATGGGGTGCAGGGCCCAAGCACCTGGGCCATCCTCCACTGCACTCCCAGGCCACAGCAGAGAGCTGGCCTGGAAGAGGGGCAACTGGGACAGAATCCGGCGCCCCAACCGGGACTAGAACCCGGTGTGCTGGCGCCGCAAGGCGGAGGATTAGCCGGCAGGCCACTAAAATCTTAACAAATATAGTCTGTATTTAGCTGCCATAGGTAAAGAAGATAGATCTTTTTCTTAGTTTTTTGTATGCTCATATATCTCATCAAGAAGCCCTAATAGCCAATCAGTATATGGCTAAGTTGTGATGCATTTCATCAAAAGGTTTCGGGTGATTTCATACTATGTGTGTCAGGTACTGTTGTTCTGTATCTGCTAATGTTTTCAAAACTAAATCAAGACATAGTTGAGAAAGGTCAAGCCCTGTGTTAATAAGATAGCTCTAACTGCACTTTAAACTTGGAAACCTAACTGGCAGAGGCAGGGCAGCAATTAGTCACATCAGCTACTTGAGATGCCAACCAGAATCAGAACTCTTATGAGCCAACACCCCAAATAGCCCTGCTGAAAACTGGTGAACTGTTGAAGTCTCATTTTATTTGAAAATGACAACTTGACACAAAACATATTTTGAAAGAGTCCCAGGCTGACGCCTTCTGCTTTTTCTGGGGTGTGAACTTGGCCAATAAAACTTGCCCCTTGCCCCCATTTCTCAAAAGTTTGGATCTACTGACCACAAAACAAAGGAAGTGCCATCAGCAGTTTGCAAAGTAACAATTTGGAAGAGAATTGTATTCAATCCTTTGGGAAATTAAACCCAAATAATCCAATAACAGCATTACAAAATTAACACTGGACAATGAATTGAATTCATTGCCTCCCACTGTGGGGATTCTTGGCTACCACAAATCAGGACATATAAAGCCAGTGATGTCAAAGGCCTCAGCAGAGTCCCCATGTGATGTGAAGGCACCACCAGACTTGGCACATGGTTGTTTTTCAACTTTCTGGCTCCTTCTGGGGATTTCAGTTCTGCCTTGCCACATCAGGGTACTTCAAAGGGCTGGCATTTGGCACAGTGGTTAAGACACCACTTGGGATGTCCACATCCGTATCAGAGCACCTAGTTCAAGTCCATGCTATACTGCTTCTGATCCAGCTTCCTGCTAATGTTCACCCTAGGGGAGCAGCCAGTGATGGCTCAAGCACTTGGGTCCCTGCCACCTATGTGGGAGACCCAGATAGAGTTCCTGGCTCCTAGCTCGGCCTGGCCCAGCCTAGGCTATTGTGAGCATTTGGGAAATGAGAGATGCAAATGGGAGATCTCTCTCTCTCTCTCTGTGTGTGTGTGTGTGTGTGTGTGTGTTTTCCATTCCCTCATCTCTCTGTCTTTCAAATAAATAAATAATTTTTTTTAAAAATCTCCTTCATGTAGAAGTTGGGAAACTTAAAACCAACAACAAAAATAAGTGTTCTTCAAAAAGCTTGTGAGAAATGAACTTGAAAACCTTTATTTTTATGCAAAATATTTTATTGAAATCCATGCATATGAGAGGTCTCCATATAAGTTCATGGAAAATGCATACTATGAGAAAATTGTACATGGATTTAAAAAATGTTTTGCACCAGAAGAAACTTTCTTTATTCCATTTTCCATGAACTTTTTGAAGTACCTGCTATTATACACATAGTAAATTGGTGAGAAAGGCTGGAGGTGGCACAATTCATGACACAAAAGTACAATTTTCTGATTTGCTTTCTAAAAAGTCACTCCAAGTGCTTGTTTATTTGGAGCTGGAGTTCGGGAAATCCAAGTAAAGATCTCTTACTCTTGAAATTGAAGGGAACCAGCCATGGTGTTTCTGGAACCTGGACAATCTAGTGAAAAGACAGGTATTTAAGAATACAAGGGGAGAACAAAAGGTTCATGGAAAATGCCAATTATTAAAAAAAAAAAAAAAAAAAAAAAAAACCCTGGGCGGCGGGGGACAGTGCTGTGGCATAGCGGGCTGAACCTCTGCCTGCAGTGCCAACATCCAGTATGGGCACCAGTGTTAGTCCTGGCTGCTCCTCTGCTGATCCAGCTCTCTGCTACAGTCTAGGAAAGCAGCAGAAGATGGCCCAAGTGCTTGGACCCTTGCATCCTGGGATTCTCAGAAGAAGCTCCTGGTTCCTGGCTTCGGATCAGCCCAGTTCCAACTGTTTGCAGCCATTTGGGGAGTGAACCAGTAGATGGAAGACCTTTCTCTCTGTCACTCCCTCTCTCTGTAACTCCACCTCTCAAATAAATAAATAAAATCTTTAAAAAAAAATCAAACTAGAGATGAATTTCCAAATCTTTGCAGCAAAATGAATTTACCACCTAATTGCATTTTCCACAGATTTTTTCAGGTACCCTCATACCATTTATCTACTTCAAAAGAGACTCAATTTGGCATTTCAGTATATATGTATTTATTTCTGTAACTTCTTGTTTAATGCCATGATGTCAGTATGCTTGTGGCAACGCAAGATTATCTAAATAATGTCGGCCCTGGGAGCAACACAATGAGCAAGTGTGTGCGCTACCAAGCCTCTGCTACTATACTTAAGGACACGGAGGAAAAGATAGGATGCCTGGTGATTTAATGCAGTTTTGCCAAATGACTCAAATGCAAAAGACCTTGACCGGTTCCAGCCTCTCCACAGAGGGCCAGTTGGTCTACGTACCTGTGGAATATTCATTTTTCTGCCTATCTTTCATATTACAACTGACATTTACTCCTGAAGCTTTCTTTAAAAAAATTTTTATTTATTTATTTTAAAGGCAGAGTTACAGAGAGGCAGAGGCAGAGAGAGAGAGAGAGATTCTTCTATCTACTGGTCTACTCCTTAAATGGCCACAACGGTCAGAGCTGGGCTGATCTGAAGCCAGAAGCCACAGCTTCTTCCGGGTCTCCCACATGGGTGGTGCAGGGACCCAAGCACTTGCGCCATCTTCTACTGCTTTCCCAGACCATAGCAGAGAGCTGGATTGGAAGTGGAGCAGCCAGGTCTTGAACCAGCGCCCATATGGGATGCCAGCACTGCAGATAGCAGCTTTTCCCGCTACACCACAGTGCCGGCCCCTCCTGAAGTTTTCTAATAACCACGCTGCATTTTACCAAAATAAAAAAAATTAATGTGTGGCATTTTATTGGGGTATTACATGATGTATAACACTCTTCTTGTTCCTAATTTTCTTTGACATTTTGAAAATACTATGCCTAATTCTTTTGTGTGAATTAAAAAAAATTAGTTAGCATGAATCAAATACTTTTTCTCACTTCCCTTAAAAACTGACGCAAACACCAAAAACAAAATAACATTTGTTGAAGCTCAAAGAAATGAGGCCCTCTGTTTGGAATCTTAATTACTGTCACCCCAAACTTCCCTAATTAGAAACGCTTTCATAATGAGGAAAAATTATTTTCATCGTGAATTAATTTGCAAGCAAAAACACTTCTGCCTTTCCAGAATGAATACCTTGCATTCCTTACACGCATATTTTAGTTACACACTCTAATTAATAGTCATACTTAAAACCTGCACAATTGATTTCACTGTTAAAGGAAACATCGCTTTGTTTTTTGACAGTATAAAAACACAACTTTCCTTCTTGTAGACACTGGGCTACACATATAAACTTAATTTTCAAATTGGACAAAATGGAAATTATTTCACCAAAACGATTCATTTTATTGACTTTAGCCACTTCAAGTTTGTGGACCTCAAATATCTTTTGTACAGATGAATTAATGATGTCCAATCTTCACAGCAGAGAAAATTACAGCAGATATTGTAAGGTAAGTTTTTTAAATCTATCTAACATGACCAGCATTAAATATATTTGTCCTCAGTTTAATGATTTTGTAAAAAGTGAGAAAAGTATGTTTCTTTGTGCTTTTTTTGTGAACTTCAGCCTTCCTACAACAGTGTATTGATGCAATTTGCATTAATTAGCACAAAAGCAGATAGCTTGGCCTCTCCAACAATAGTTTAAGTAGAGGCTATGACCCTTAGACGATGATGCTTAGCAAGCATAACGTGCCTTAATAATCTTCAGTTTACTCGGAACTGCACATTCTTAGTTATAGAACTCAGATCCAGATATACTCAGCTGGTCATTTCCGTTGTCTACAAACTACAAACAAAAAATATCTTCACAACTTCTAGTTAGCAATTCCAAGCTGGTAAGTTTGCGGTAAATTCAGCATCTAACTAAAATGTTTAGCGTTAAAGGGAAGAATTTTAAGTTAGTTTTATTTTCTTCTTCATGTTTGTATGTATTTTCCAAACTGGCTGAAATTAGTATGCATTACTCATTTTATTCAAGTTACAATAGAAGAGCAATCATTTAAAAATCTTCCTATAAACTTTCATGATAAAACTAAATCTAATTAAATATTCACTGCTCATATTTTCCATGAGCCCTATAAAGTTGATAGATTTGTGGTATAGTAACTCAAAAACCAATTGGTTCTTTACTAAAAATGTAATTTATGCTTTAATAAAAATACAATTGGTTTCTTGAGAAATGCTTTTAGAGCATGAAAAGGTAAAAAAGAAATTCAATGGGGACTCCTCCAAGTGCACCCTACACCTGGCTGGCACCTGTTTCCAGGTACCACACTCCATGTGCATTTTGGTCTATAAATGGGGGTGCAACAAGAGACCTGGAAAGCGAGTGGGTACTTCCTTTAAAATCAAAATATAAAAATATGTAAAATATTTTACAACATGAATCAAATAACTGAAGGAAAATAATTGTAGTAAAACAAACTTTTTGCTTCATTTCAATACTTCATTATATTCCTGCTGCTTGAACATATTGCTCTGTTCACTATATATATTTTATTAATATTTCATAGTTGTCTTACAATAGTCTAGGGACAGAGAAACTAGATTGCTTTAAGAAGCTTAATACAAATTATTTATTAAAAAATTCTGCACTTAAGAATACAAACTTTGTTTATAGCTCTAACAATTCTGCAAGATTAAATTCTGGATTCAAGTTCATTTGGGGTTTAAATCTATTGCTTATCTCAAGAATAAATTATTTTAATGGTCAATCCTAATTATAGCTTAGAGGACATCCAGAAGAGGAAAAGGAAAGAAGTCTCCATTTTGAAGAATTAAAAGATTGGGGACCAAAAGATGGCAATAAGATGAGTAGCCCTACAGTCAACAAAATGCCACATGCGGCAGCCACCTTGCCTTTGAGATTCGGGAGGACCACGGAAGAAGAAAGAAGCCCTCAGCCAGTGGCCAACCTGCCTCTGAGATTCGGGAGAAATATGGAGGCGAGCATCTTGAGACGCATTCCTAACCTGCCCCAGAGGTTTGGGAGAACAACAACAGCCAAAAGTGTCACCAAGACACTGAGTGACCTGCTGTCACCATCTGCCAATGAGTTGCTGTACTCCATGGCCTGCCAGCACCAAGGAACTCAGAATCCTGACCCCAAACACCCCAGGTAAATATCTGAACACAGGCAGAGCGCAAGGGCCATTATAGAGAGCTGGTCCAGAAACTGGACAATGGACTGCATCTTTTCCAAGTAAATTTCTTAGAAGGAGAAAGACAAAGACACAGGGAAATAAATACCTGTAAATTTAGAACCACAGGAGTGCAGGTTTAATGAACGTGGCTATAAAGTGGGATGGCTTTCCCTAAGCCACATCTGGGCATCAATCCTATAACCCTACAGCCACACACTAGGCCCATGACTGACAGGATGGGGAATTTAAGCCTCAGACATCTGGTCTGACACTGGACCTCTCTCAAGAGTCCCAGATGAGAGCTCTGTCCTCAGGGAAAAAGAACACCATCCCAATAACTCGGGTCTCAAACACAGACACTTGTCCTCCCCAGCTTTTCATCACAGTTGTTTTTCTGTTTGTAAATCAATCCATTTAGAATAATCCTTGGTATTCATGAACAAATATTGTCTACCATGTACAAATCAGAGTGCAGATGACTAAAGAGATTTTAAAATCAATGTAACTTTCTAATAGAGTGTGTGTGTGTGTGTGTGTGTGTAGTGATATAAGGTAGGCTACGATGCAGAAGGAATGGTAGTAGCTCCATCAGCTCATGAGAGAGGCCCTCTGAGAATACTCCTGTTTAATTCTTCCCATGGTACTTTATCCCCACCTGACAGATTGTACTCATAGGTCCATCTCCTCCACTAGAGCTTCATTTCCATAAAATCTCATCATTTTTGTCCACTGCCAAACCCTCCGTGTCCAGAAATGTGTCTGCCTTCACTAGTGGCCAGAATGAGTGAAATGACCTGAGAGAGGCACCAGACAGCCCTCGCGGGGGTCTGTGTGTGACAATCTAGGGTGCGCCACCACTGCATGTTGAAAGGCAGCTCTACTTTGGATGTTCAGAGGCTGGCGGGAGGAGAGAGGTCATTTTCAGGCAAAGGCAGGACTTTCGGCAAAGGCACGAAAGCAAGATGAGCCAGGAACAACCAGGGTTCAGTTTGCAAGGGTACACAGTATGTGGAGAGGAGAGGAGAGGAGGCCAGAAGGTACAGTAGGCACAGAGTGCAGACGCCGCTGCTGGGACAAGGACGCTGGGTGTCATTCATCGAGAGCGAAAACCCCTGACATGCCTGCTGAGGTCCTCTGATATCATACAGAGGAGGACCGTCCACTCACTGGATGTTAGGAGAGGGAGATCGGAGATTCAGCAGTAAGTTCTCAAGCCTGAGTGCCTATCCAAAAATTAGCATCCCACCCCCATCTCACTCACAGCACGTGCAACACCACTCACCTGACGTGTAATTAAGCATTTAGGAGTGTGGTTTGTGTTTTACATGCTTTTGCTGACTACTGTTTGGATGCATGAGAACATTTTGCTTCTTACATTTTAGGGGACTGGAATTCAAGAAAACAGACAATGCTGAGCTGCAGCAAGAAAAATCAGAAAAATCTGGAACCTGTCCCTAAAGATAATAAAAAAAAAAAAAAAGGTGGCCTGTAACCTACAAACAGCTCTACAGTGACAGCAACAAGGAAGACGGCAGCTCCCATCTGATGCACTATGTATCACTGAGAGCAATTTTCTCTTGTCATTGCAGCTAGTATCTTGAGAGTTATTAAAAACGACTTAGAGAATATTTGTAATGTATAATTGAAATCGCTTTTGTCTGAATAAAAAGAACACTGCAAATACTTAAAAAGTCTCTGGTAATAGAGGGACACTGAAACCACATCACCACCTTATGTAAAAATCATGGGCACAGTTATACTTACTAAAAAAAAACTAATAGAGTATTACTATTTCATCCAATATGATGAAAATTAAATGAACAGAATAACATGGGTTGACAAATAAATGGACACAGATAATCAATCACTTAGAAACATTTTTGTACTTAGTTTTTACTGTTAGTGAATTTATGATAGAGTATCATTTAAAACTTGGTATCTTTCTGTATAACATTACAAGATAAGGGAAACTCTTAGATTTTAGGGAGATAAAAGAAAAATGCAACCATTAGTTAGTTAACCTTTTTCTAGTGTCTCTTCTGCCTGTGTCCAGAAGTTTGCCCTTGGTGCATCTCTTTTCTCCTCACTTAACATTTCAAGTTTTGGATTTGCAAAAGAAATCTGGCCACTTTTCCACTAACAATGTATAAACTCAAGACCCCAGAACACAAATGCCTGGTGATCTAACTTGAGCTTTTAGAGTATGAAGTCCTTTATCAGATATAAATGGTTCATGTCTCAGGGTAAGCACAGGAAATAGTTTTATTTTTCTCCCATCGCACCTTCCCCCGCTGGGCAGAGATCCCCTAATGATACCTCGGACAGATTCCACAACTTCCCTGGCCACCTCTTGATATTAAAAAACTCCATCAAGGAGCCGGCGCCGTGGCTCAATAGGCTAATCCTCCACCTTGCGGCGCCGGCACACCGGGTTCTAGTCCCGGTTGGGGCGCCGGATTCTGTCCCGGTTGCCCCTCTTCCAGGCCAGCTCTCTGCTATGGCCAGGGAGTGCAGTGGAGGATGGCCCAGGTGCTTGGGCCCTGCACCCCATGGGAGACCAGGAAAAGCACCTGGCTCCTGGCTCCTGCCAGGATCAGCGCGGTGCGCCGGCTGCAGCGGCGGCCATTGGAGGGTGAACCAGCGGCAAAGGGAAGACCTTCCCCTCCCCGGCCCCTCTCTCCTCATGGTCCACTCTGCTTGTCAAAAAAAAAAAAAAAAAAAAAAAAAAACTCCCTTAAATCCCGGTGAAGGACCCCACCCCAAAAACCAGGTTCAGTGTCCCCCTCTCCCATCTCTGGTAGGGTAGGGACTGGAAGGACCTGAACTTGGAAAGGAACAAGAGCCACTCTTCCTCTCCCCCCTCCCCTTCTCGCCCTAGGGGCAGGGTGGTGGGAGGGAAAATGGCAGATGGAAAATTAGTCTCCCCTCCTATCTTCTCCAGGGTATTGGAGTGAACAGGGGAGGGAGGGGGGATTGAATTTCTGGCTCCTGATTTCCTCAATGGCCCAGTCCTAGCCATTATGAATCTTTGGGAGCATGAACAAGCAAATGGGAGCTCCCTCTCCCTCTCCCCCTCCCCCTCCCCCCCTCTCAAATACACTTTTAAAACTTAAATTTAAGGGTTGGGGACAAGGTGGGGACAGGCTTCCCTGGTGGAAACATGACCAAATGCCATGAACTTCAATGCTGTTCATAGGTAATGTCAGATCTTTGTCCTCCCTAAGTCAAAAATACACCAGATTGATTGCATTCTCATCAACATTTCAACCTGCATTCAGCTATCAGTTCATTCTTCTCCCACTTTTCCTATGCCAAGGCCCGAGTTAGAAGACAGGAGTGTGATCGACTTCTGCCCTCTGTTCCTGCTTCATCTGCCTCCCCTCTCCCTGGCTGCTTTTTTTAGATTCCACTAGAGTGGAAGAGAATTTGGAGTGACAGCCCAGGAAACAGGACATTTCTCCACATGCTGGATGGACTCACTCTTAGGACCCAGAGGATGGAGCTACCCCATATTGCGACACCCTCTCCCTATAACTGTGGTTTCCTATGACATCGTCCACTCCCAGGCTGGCTGTGAGCCTCTGCCATGAGCCATAAGCATCTACTCCATCTGTATGCCCAGCTCTCTTCCAGGGGTCCCCTTGAGTAGGACTTGAAACAGATCCAGCAAATGCCCCTCCCCTGCAGACTACACCTTGCCCTCCACAGCTGGGCACCATCCCAATGTGGCTCCCCTATGCTACTGCCCCTGGCCTCTTTAGCTTTGGCCTTTGCTTCTCCCAACCACACAGAACATGGTTCTTCATCCTGTGGAAGCCCCTCTCTCATGAAGGGTCAGAGACACAGTGACCTCAAAACCTGGACGGGGTAGAGGCAGTCAGTCTGGGTAACACCTCTCCCCAAAGAAGTCTCTGCACAGATCAAATCCTGCCCTTTTATCTCCTCCAAGTGGGTGAGGGAACCAAGAACCAGCAGAATCTTCCCAACCACATCCTTTAAAATGTCTACAATTGGTGATCTGGCTTCGGAATTTTACTCAGATCAGATCTGGGGGGGGGTTGGTTAAAACTTCCCTTTGAGGACCTTTGCTAAACAGATGCATCTCATCCCATGAGCAATCACTACAGCTGCTAAAGTGATGTTCCTCTAAACCAGGAAGTCTCAGTGCATTTTTCTTGGAGGAGTTCTTGGGTAGACTCTCAAAGGGTTTTGTGACCCCATGTAGTTAGAGGATCAATACAATTGAAGATTGTTTCTAGAACTGTTCCTGGTTAATATCTAATTCAATTTACAGATGAATATGTCTATCTGTTCAGCCATTTAAGTGATGAGATCATAATGTTAAAACGATCCAAATTACTCAAATTATCGAGCCTGAATTTCCTCCAAACACTGGATTTTCAGGGTAGCCCAAAGCAGAAGCAAGGTAGTTAACTGTGCTCTTCTGCCCATTGTGCTTCCCCAAAGCAAATTCCCCCAAATACTCCACACTCCACCCCTTCCTCTCTTCCAGCACTTCCCTGCCCCCCAGGAAATTCCATTTGGCTTGGTTCTTACCCATATTTCAGCCAGCCCTAGAAAAGGAGCAGAGTGCAGGGGTTGGGGGAAGAGAAGGATTCAGCCCACCTTCTACAACATCTGCATGGAAGACAATGTCCACATCGACCCTAGGTCCACATTTCATACATCGCACTGTGACAGTCACGCTTGGGAAATAGAAAAAGGACCGAAAAATGTACTGACTCTGGGACAACTTTCTTAGGGTGGAAAATGAAAGGTCGGGGGCAGCACTGTGGCGTAGCAGGTAAAGCCGCCGCCTGCCATGCCGGCTTCACATAAGGATGCCAGTTCTAGTCCTGGCTGCTCCACTTCTGATCCAGCTCTCTGCTATGGCCTGGGAAACCAGCAGAAGATGGCCCAAGTCCTCAGGCCCCTGCACCTGCATGGGAGACCCGGAAGAAGCTCCTGGCTCCTTTTTGGGGGAGTGAACAGTGGATGGAAGACCTCTCTCTCTCTCTCTCTCTCCCTCTTCCTCTCTGAAACTCTGCCTTTCAAATAAATAAATAAATCTTAAAAAAAAAAAAAGAAGAAGAAGAAAGAAAGAAAATAAAAGGTCAGTGTTCATGTAACCATGAGCAACAAAATGAAATAGGCAACAAAGGGGAGCGTAATGGCCTTCACTTTGCATATTTGTTCTTGCTTTTTTCCCTAAAGATCTTCTTGGGAGTATTATATCACCTCTTCCTTTGGAAGTCATCATACTATTTAATGCAAATACCAAATCACATCCAACTTCAGAAAACACAGATTTCATATATCTATGCCTCTGCTTATGCTAATTCCTTCAGCCCAAAGGCCTCTTTTCTACCAACCAAAATTCTCTAAGACACAGGTCAAATTTGGATGTAACTGCATATATAACAGAAACTCCAGATAATAGTTTTCATTGAGACTTTTTTTAACCTCCCTTAAAAATACCTGGAAGGACAGTTCTGAACAGGTGTGCAAATTCCCCAGGCACCAGGGACCCAGTCTCCGGCCTTCCCTCTGCACCACCAACTTGAGCCCAAGGCCCCTTCCAGATCATCACATCCCTTTCCAGGCAAAAAGGAAGGGGGCTTTTGCAAAAGAGCCCCTTGAAAGAGCACCATCCAGCCACTATTTTCTCTTTTGTGTAATTAGCTGCCCCAACCTGCAAATGAGCCTCTCTTAGGCACACTGCTCCAACCACTACTACTATGAAAAACACACTGTGGAGACCAGGTGAACCACCAGATAGGCTGCCCAGCCACTACAAAATCACTTCCCTATTATATAAATTATATATTTGAATTGTTCTCCTTTGCTAGACCTGAGTTACAGTGGCACTATGGACATCTGGGCTGGATCGTTCTTTGCTGGGGAGGAGCCGGTACCTGGTGCATAGGAGGATTTTCCGCAGCATTCACAGCCTCCACCCACCAAGTGCTAGGGGGACCACTCCCAACTGTGACAACCCAAAATGTCTTCAGACATTGGCAAATGTACTGTAGGACTAGGACCATCCCTAGTTAGGAAGCACTGACTGCCCGAATCCTCTCTGAGTTCCCTCCTCAGCTGCATCATAATAGGACCTATTGTTATGACAACAATTTCTCCTGTTTAACATTCAACACTTTCAACTACTTCTGCCACACTCATTTTCATACTTTTTTTTTACAGTTAGAGTTATAGACAATGAGAGAGAGAGAAAGACAGAGAAAGGTCTTCCTTCCGTTGGTTCACTCCCCAAATGGCCACCATGGCTGACACTGCCCTGATCCGAAGCTAGAAGCCAGGTGCCTCCTCCTGGTCTCCCATGTGGGTGCAGGGGCCCAAGCACTTGGACCATCCTCCACTGCCCTCCCAGGCCACAGCAGAGAGCTGGACTGGAAGAGGAGCAACCAGGACTAGAACCTGGCGCCCATATGGGATGCCGG